AAATGTGCTTTTGGGGAAATAAGAAAACATCGATTTTGGAATTAAAAATTTATTAAATTATTACATATTACAATGCACCCGTTTGCTTTGTTAAACAAATGATTGTAAACAGGAGATGTACTTAGAGAACAAATTATAAAAGCCATTTAAATTTATATGCTAAAATCAGACATTTGGTAACATTTGGTAGCTTGCGTGTATCGCCAGATAATACTAAGGTAGGTCTTAAAAGGGGTCAACTATACCTACTCCCTTTACGATGCCCATGGCTTGCGTCAAACTAATTAAAATTAATCTATATATTTGCAAATTTAAAACATATACTAAAAGCTCTCATCTCGTGAAAAAGTCCCGAAATTCAGAACAAAAAGATTAAAAGCCTGAATATAACATAAATAGTAAAATATTTCAAACGTATTTCGCTGCCTGCAGCAATTTTTGTGCATAGTTACATCTTTAAAAGTATAAAAAAATGCTTTATAAAAACTTAATTACAATTTCAATGAACAAAATATCGGAATAATTGACAGAAGAAAGTTTTATCTTAAAACTAAGTTTTCTAATTCGAGTACTACATACTATGTCGTGTAAAAACATGGAAAGTGCCGAGAGCTAGTGATTTTGTAACCAATATACTAAAATTAATATGAATACATATAAAAGACTGATAATATGTGAAATGCATTGAAGTTGTGGATTGAATCCAATAAATGCGTATATCACAATACGTGTTTAGACATAAAACAGCCTCACTCTGGAAGTAGTTATATGGAGATCACCGTCGAAGAATTTAGTCTCGATCACAACATTGCCACTGGAAAATAAGAATTTTAATCTTAAATCTTTATTAAACTATGGCAACACGGATTTCCAAAAGAAAAAAAAAATATTAAAAAAAAAAGATTGAGCGCCATCTTTTAATAATTTTTTGAAAGACTATCAATGCTTTGTTGTTAACTGATACTCGCAATAGATGGCGCTATACGAAAATTTCACCTAAATTACGTTAAGTTAAAAAACTAACAAAAAAATTAAAAACCCGCATAGTGTAAGACACTTAGCAACTTAGTTACCTATACAGTAACAAGTTCTTTATAAAAATACCATATATATAGGGGCAAAAAGTTCAAACCAAAAATATTACTCACTTCAACACATTAGCGGGCATCATCTGTGACTCCGGAGCGGATTCGATAATAGATTGCCATGTGTTAGTTGAATTTGCTATCACATATCCGAAATCAAAGAACCATTCCTCAAGACATCGCCCTTTGAACAGCACTTTCTGGAAGTTGTTGAAAAATTATAATCATGCATTATATCATGAACATTATAAACATGCATTTAATTAAAATTTAAGATTTATCAAAAATAAGAAAACATCACATTAGAGTGAATCGAGTGATTCCAGTCTGGTAATCACTCATCACATAGATAGACTTGGCAGCTCCGAAACTGTATGTGAATTTAGTTATTTGTAAACTAGTTATATTTATAATAGTATTATAAAGAAGAAAGATTTGTATTTTTGTATGTATTGAAATACCTTAAAAGCTAGTCAGCAAATTTCAAAAATCCTTTCACTATTAACAGCTTGTTATTACACAGTAGCATATTCTATTTTACTATCTTTAATACCATGTGGACAAAGTCGCGGGCAACAGCTAGTGTAATATAATTTAAACAATTTAATATCAGTTTTACCTGTTCTAAACGAAATCGATCCATAGTTTCAATAGAACTAAAGTTCATCTCTCGGGAGACAACTCGGCACTTCAGTATTCTCTTGGGTACCCTCGCTTCATGTTCTACATCAGGATTGGACATATCTTCATTATGTTGCCATAATATTTTACCTGTAAATTGCAAAAATTTGGTGAAATCTTGTTTCATACTTGCTGCTATCATATTCTCAATTATATTTTTACTATATTCATCTTTACGACTGTAACACACATAATATTATATTACTAGAAAAAGACAGTTTCAGAGACAGAGAATCAAGACCGGTGTAAGGACATCAAATGAATATAGAAGTCTCTGCCTACCCCACTGAGCTAGCGGTTGACTGGGTTTTCTAACAGAACATCTAATATGATTTACCTGTGTCAGCATCACGGAGGTTCATCCAATTTCTGTTGTCAATTATGTAAGGTAAAATGTGATAAAAGTATTAAAAAAATAAATAAATTTCGTAAGGAATTGTACAGTTGATATTTTTGAATGACTTCTCATCTCGGCACATACCACATAACATATATAAAATATGAGATTGTATTAAATATGTGATTGTCTTATGCTGATAATATACTAAATAAATATGTGAAGACAGTGTTTCAATAGCCCTACATCTCCAGAGCCCATAGCGGAAGACAGTAACCGCCAAACAGGATATGGGCCCAGCATGCTTCCTCTGCGCTGTGTCTTCACATGTTAATAAATATATTATCAGCTTATAACAATCACATTTCATAATTAATACAATCTCATATTTTGTATATGTTATATAAAAAATCTGTCCTACTTGTGTAAAGTGTTGCCTGCCAGTAACAAAACATATAAAAACTCCAAGAGGTCTTAATTATAAAATGTTGTTTTAAATGTTTTCACAGGAATTGTGATGCAAAAAATAATATACATAATTATAGTGGAATTAATTGCAATGCTTTCTATTTGAAAAATAAGATACAAACTATAAGTTATATATGTAAATAAGAAAGATTTCTACAACACATGGTATAAACAAATGGTCTTAATTTTTAACTTTCTGTAAAAATACAATAAAGGAAAAGATGTTTATCATATGCTACATGTGTGTATTAGATTAACGGAATATACCTAAATATTCTGAACACATTGCAAAAAGCGAATCAGTTGTGATGAAGGTAGATGAAAAATAAAAGCTTGTAAAATTCCCATTGAAAAATTTCAAGTTTTATAAAACATTCATCGTGGTATAAAGCGCATACTTCGTTAATAATTTTATTCAAATAAAATGTAAAATATGTACGAATTTAAAGGATACATCTGAAAGCCACTTAGGATCGTATTCACTCGATCTTGCCTGTTTTCTTCGACAGATAGAACTTCCGTCATTCTTGATAGTATATAACTAATCACTAAAAATTTAATTTATTTGTAAATCGCAATATAATTGTAAAAATGGACTGTTTATGATAAAAAACTCGGTAATCGGGCAAAAAAATACCACAACAAAAAACGTCATCAGCAAAAGCAAGCAATGTTGCCATAAGCTATTGTCATAATTTTACATAAAATAAAGCAAAGACTAAAATTCAGTTAATAAATGTGAACAAAAATAAACTTTCGGTAAATATCTTGGTTCGCTTTAACTTACGCATAATTATATACATTGTTGTTAAATTTATCTTATAATTTAAAAATTGGTATCTACTAATGTTTGTGGTGTCTTGTGTCTTTGATATCTTACTGATTTCCGTTTTTCCAATTTCTACTCTTTGGTACAATGTGACAGTAAAATTGTTATTTTTTGACAATTTTATTAAATAAATTATTATCAAATTATAGAAATGTATAAAGGATTATCAAGAATTCTATCCTGTTATTGTTCAGACAAAATTCCACAGTGTATATCACCAGTTTTTAACTCAGTTTTAAGTACCCGAAAAGGACAAATAGGATATTTAGGTTATGTTTTCAAAAGGACGAAAAAACATGATAGGGGTGGTCTTTCGACATTGTTTACCCCGGTCCCAGTAAAACCAAATCCAGATGACATAAACGTAGGAGAAGAATTCACGGGAAGACTTAAGAAACAAGATTTACTGAAAATTCTAAATAAATTTTATCAAAAGCCAGAAGTTAGATCGCTTTCTTCAGAAAATGGTTTGGATGATCAATTATTGCATCAGGCTTTTTTATCATTTAGAAGGCATTGTCTAGAACATGATTTGCCTCCAGATTTACATATAATTATAAGTGATATACTGCATGGTAAGTAATTTATGTTACCAATATTGAGTATATAATTGAATTATTCTCTTGCTGACAGACTGTGTATGATAATTGTATAACTAATTTAATTCAAGGTGCGGGACATGTAGATGACTTATTTCCATACTTCCTTCGACATGCCAGATTAGCATTTCCACATTTGGACTGTTTAGATGATTTAAAAAAAATATCCGACTTAAGAACACCAGCCAATTGGTAAGGTGTAGAAACATTATCCTTTCATTATTTTGTTATCAGAAATTCAATTCATTTATATTAAATAATTTTCAATGGGGTAAATGCCGTAGATACTAAACCAGACATTTTTTTGTTTGAGAAATACATGCATTTTACTTATTAGAAGAATTTGTTATAGTCTATGTTAAATATATGTTTATACTTTTAAATTATGTGTGTAGGTATCCACAGGCACGTCATTTGAATAGAAAAATAGTATTCCATGCGGGACCTACAAATTCTGGCAAAACTTATCATGCTATGGAGCGATTTCTTACTGCAAAATCAGGAGTTTATTGTGGACCATTGAAACTATTAGCAACAGAAATATATCACAAATCTAATAGTAAAGTAAGAGTTTTCAAATTATACATAATTTTGTTTTTATACTGACAAAGAGATTTCTTTAGTTTGATTAAACTGTTTAAAAAAATATTATTTTTTCCAAAAAAAAAAATATTGGTAGATCTTTTGCCAGTCTATAAAAAGTTAGTAGTACTGAATAAACAGTTTTTTTATCTGTAGTATTAAAATGTACTATTCCAGGGTACACCATGTGATTTAATAACTGGAGAGGAAAGGCGGCATGCCTCACAATATCAGACATTAACGGAAAACGTTGAAACGGAAACTAGTACAGAGACTGGAAATTATTTACTTAATGAACCAGAACTAATACCGTCTAGTCATGTTGCTTGTACAGTTGAGATGACATCGCTAAATGATACATGTAAGATATGCTTTATTATGTGAAACTGAGTTAATTAAATATTGGTCAATTTTCCACTATAAATTACCATATTTTTTTATTGGCAACTAATAAATACCAACCCCAAGAAAAAAATCACCCCTCTTTATACATCCATCCAATGTATATCCTTTAAAGTCAATAAAAACCTATTACTTTGTGTACAAAATATGTCGACATGGAATAATTTTTTTTAATATATATCTTCTAGATGAAGTAGCAATTATTGATGAAATTCAAATGATTGGAGATAGAGGTAGAGGTTGGGCGTGGACTAGAGCAGTTTTAGGTAAGGTATTATAATGATACTAGGTTTCGTCTGCGATTCCATTTCCACTGAATTAAAAAAAAACACTTGACTTCTAGACTATGTTCTACATGTGTGCCTAATATCATTGAGATCCACTCAGTTTAGGCTACAAACTCTAACATCCATTCATCTAAACTTTTGCATTTATAATATTAGTAAGAAGTAATATTATATTTTTTATTTAAGTTAACATTCTGAATGTCAGTGTTGTAATCAAGTTATTTCAAGTAAAATTGTCGGTGTAATTTTTTTTATGTTAATTAAAGGTCTGCAAGCTGATGAAATTCATTTGTGTGGTGAAGCTGGCGCAATAAATTTGATTGAAGAAATTTGTTATACAACCGGTGAAGAAATAGAGGTACTACATATAGGGATAATAATGTTTTTAAAATTGAATTTAACATGTGTCTGTTGATACAGACCAGACCCGACAGCAGAGGTTTGAGGCAAACTAGCTGTTGCTTGTGACTTCGCCCACGTGAAATAAAAAGTAATAAATAATATAGAAAATGTTAGTGATAACATAATGGTGAAAGATTTTTTGAAATCGGCTGAGTAGTTTTTGAGTTATTTTAATACATACCAAAATCCAAAAATACAAATCTTTCCTCTTTATAATACTAGTATAGGTAAAATTGAACTTTACTAAACAGAAATAAGATTTAATTTAATGTATAAATCTTTTTTTAACTAGGGCACACATAAAAATAAGTTTAAAGGCAAATCAAACCTTATTTCATATTTATAAAGTTCAGTTTTATTTGCGATATAAATACTCTGACTTCCCAGTTTATGACCCTAATGCACCTTTCTATTGTAACATGATTTTTTTAAACTGTTTCGTATATTTGCTGTAAATGTATTTGCTTGATATTATTATTTGATTTTCAGGTGCGTACATACAAAAGACTAACAGAACTGAAGGTGGAGGACAGTGCGCTGGGATCACTGGACAAGGTGCGTGCCGGAGACTGTATTGTGTGCTTCAATAAGAATGACATATACAGTGTAAGCAGAGCCATTGAACAGAGGTCAGTCCTGTGAGGCAGGTATCCAATAGTTTAAAAATGTTCATCATACTTCATACTAATATTATAAATGCAAAAGTTTAGATGGATGGATGTTTGTTAAAGTTTGTAGCCTAAACGGCTAAACGGATTTCAATGAAATTTGGCATTGATGGAGAGGATAGTCTGGACAAACACATAGGCTACTCAATTTTGTTTTCTTTTTAATTTCACGCGGACAGAGTCGCGGGCGAAAGTTAGTATACTAATATTAATGCAAATAGATTCTTGCAAACTAACTTTAGTCGGAGAGAAAGTTCGGAAGGATTTTTTTTAATTACTTTTTATACAAAATGGATTTAATTTTTTTGCTAACAATATTTTTTTTGTGTTTTTGTTGGTTATTTATTGGTTATTATATTTAGGGGTCATGAGGTGGCAGTGATATACGGCAGCTTGCCCCCCGGCACTAAGTTAGCGCAGGCTAACAAGTTCAATGACCCTGAAAGTTCCTGTAAAGTGATGGTGGCCACGGACGCTATTGGCCTCGGCATCAATTTGTAAGTTACTTATGATTTGTAATTTTTAAAGTACTAGAATTGTATTTAAATGCATGATTTTTTTTTATACTCTAAATTGGAACGGGGAGTAATTTGAACATAGGTCGAGGGAAAAATATATATTTTTTTTAAAATAATCTATCGGGTGTGAAAGACTGATGTATAAATACATCATCATGCATTTAAGAGTTAAATCAGAAATTGGGAGATGTTACACAGATAATACCTGGTTCTAAGATATATCTCAAAAGAATGCATGTAAAATTAGTATGAAAGCAATTCAACCAGTTTTTAAGTTCAACAATTTATATTAAATATACAAATATTGTTATGAATTTATATGTTTGTAGGAGTATACGGCGGATAATCTTTTATTCACTAATAAAACCGGTGGTAAATGAAGATGGTGATAAAGAAATGGATGTCATCAGTGTATCGCAAGCTTTACAAATTGCAGGTAACTTTTTCTTCAGTTACACATTAATATTTATCTCTCTCTCTCTCTCTCTCTCTCTCCCTGTATCTCTCTCTCTCTCTCTCTCTTTCATACTAGCTGTTTCTCGCAACTTCGTCAGCATGAAATTTAAAAAAAATTTACTCATTGGTAACATAGCTTTTTAATGGTGAAATAATTTTGAAAATAAGCCGAGTAGATTTTGAGTTATTTCAATACATACAAAAATTTAAAACTTTCCACTTTTTAATGTTAGTATAGATTTGTGTTTTATAAATTAGTCGGATTTTTTTTTATAAAAAGCTTAATAAGTGATTGTGTTCTACTTCCATCCATACGTCGAAATTGAGTAACATTGTGGTTCAGGCAGAGCTGGCAGGTACGGCAGCGCGTGGGAGACAGGGTACGTGACGACGTTCAGGGCGGAGGACCTGGCGACGCTGAAGACGCTGCTGTCCAGGTCCTCGGAGCCCGTGACGCAAGCGGGGCTGCACCCCACTGCGGAGCAGATGGAACTTTACGCCTACCATCTACCTCATGCCAGCCTCAGTAGTTTAATGGTAAGTGTTTTTATTTAGTTATTGGTATTACTCAGTTGGGTGTTCTGTTTTTTTTTTTTAAATTAAGGTTATTATAACCATATCACGAATAAATACACTGAAATGTTTAAAAAAATAAAACTATGAGCTATGAAAAAATATTGGACAGTAAAATTAGTAAATATGATTTTTAATTTCAATTGAAAATATGAATGTTCGACCATGGATGAGTAACAGCTTAGGGGTTGAGCACTTGACTCAAGGCGTTGTTGCCTAAGGTCTTAGGTCCAGATATTCAGTGGTAGTGCCCGCTTTATCATCTTAGCACTGCAGGGCCGGCACGCCCCCAGTAGTACCACAAACAATTTTTCCGTGTTTCGTCTGATGAGTGTGGTGCCGGAGGCCTAATTTAAGTCCCTTACTCCTTACCACCCTTTTCTCATA